AGACAAAACTGCGTATTTGGCCCAAGGATTGGGCCAGATACACCAAAAAAATCAAAAATTGAAGTAAAAGGCTCAACTTTGGGGCAAGGGAGCTTGGGGCAACTCGGAATGATGAGGACCATGGATCTCAGCCAAATCCAAGGCTGAGATCTGTGCCACCACTTGGAAAAATGCAACGGCCTACCCAAAGGAGGCCTAGACCAAGAAAAAGGCGAAAAATGGGCCTCGAGGCCCTCAATTTTCAGTAAAGGCTGCATTTTGGGAAAGGTACCCCAAAAGGCAGCACTTTTTTGAGGTAAAAAGAGGCCGGGGTAGGCCAAGGGGTAGTCCGAGAGGGCCAAAACCGGAAATTTGGCCTTGGGGGTACCTCGGCCCACCTAGAGGCACTTGGAGAGGCCTAGAGGTTGGGCGGTTCACCTGTTCCAGCCTACATAAGCTGGAGGTGCAGGCCGCCACTCTCATTTGAGCATGAGAGGTGCCCATGCTGCCAAAATGAGTCTAGGAGAGAGTCCGAGTGGAAGTGAAGCAAGGGAGTGAGAGTTGCAGCTACCCAAGAGTCTGGCTATGGTGATAGGGCTGAGGGAGGAGGTCTAGAGGCTAGATAAAAGCAAGGAGAGTGGTCCGCCATAGCCCTCAGGCTGTGAAGTAGGAGGAGAGGTTGAAAGGGGTCCCCTTAGTCCTTCTAGAGGGAAGGACTCCACAGCCTTAGAAGTAGGAACCTGCCATAGCTAAAGGAGAGGTGTGAGGGAAGGAGGAGAGAGCTTGGGAGAGACGAAAAACCATACTCAGGAGGCTAGGACCAAGCATTGGGACTCCACTGCCCAGAGACCAGCGAGAGGTCAGTGAAAGAGGAGGGATGCCTCCTCCTCCTTCTTCTTCTTCCTCCTCTTTTTCTTCTCTCCTTCTTCCTTCTTCCTCAGTGAAAAGACAAGATTTGAAGCAATCTATGAAGGGGAAACATCACCGAACTATCACAAGGTGAATCACAACTTACCCAAGTACCAAAATCAGTGAAAAGACAAGATTTGAAGCAATCTATGAAGGGAAACATCACCGAACTATCACAAGATGAATCGCAACTTACCCAAGTACCAAAATCAGTGGAAACACAAGATTTGAAGCAATCTATGAAGGGGAAACATCATCGAACTATCACAAGGTGAATC